GTGTTTCCCGGGTTTTGTGACGGGACGCTGCTGGTGAGACTGGACCATCACCGGACAAGGCCGTTTTCTTCAGAGTCTCGGACAAATTGGCGAGGGGAGAGGTGTGGCAGGCGTGGCAGGCGTGGCAGGTGTGCGTGTGTCCCTTGGGCTGGGCGGAGAGCTAGGAGAAGACGGGAGGTTTTGCTCGGTGCCGGATGGGCGGGCGGTCAGCGGCGGCGGGCGGGCTTGGGGTGAGCTACCGTATATACTGCGACGATACTCGCGCCAGGTCCGGCGTTGGGTATCCTGCGGTGGCCGTCGTCTCGGACTTGTGATTCCAGATGTATGGTTGGCCCACCGTACCTGGGACTGGATAAGGATAAGATTGGCGGTGCCTGGTGGTAGCCGGAGGATAGTGTAAGTACTCGTGTGTGTATGTGTGTGTGTCCGAGTGCCGGCCAAAGGTTGTACCTTTTGACATTCGTTCTGGTGAGGTAAGTGGAAAGAAAGAAGGAGAAGAGAAACTGTGTGGAAAGAAGGAATTCAACGGCGCGGCAGGCAAAAGGGAAACAAACCGCAGCAAAGCAAGGCAAACGTGGTTCGGGAGCGGGAAAAACCACATGGCTTTTTGCTTTGGTCGCTTGGTGTGGCTTGTCATTCTGTCTCTACACGAAGAGGACGACAAATGATAGATCTGGGAGGCTTGGAATAAACAATTTGTGAGTCTTTCTTCCGCCCGTTTGGGTGAGCCTGGGTCGCCTTAGTAGGTGGTGACCCGACACTCTTGGGAAGGATGGGCGAGCCGAGAATTTGGAGGAGGGGGGACGGGTGAGTCAAGATTCGGTTGCTCGGTCGTTGTCTTTCTTTACTCAAGCCTCTGTGGAGAGGGGGTCTGCTTTCTTTTTCACATCTTGATAGATGGGTCATGGGGGGAATCTTGGTTTACGGAAGTCTGGAACTTGGAAGGCGAGATATTTGACTGACTCTATGGGTAACTTGGGGCATGATTCAGATGTTTGTGATTCGGATTGAGGGAAGGAATAAGAGAGAAACATTTTGTGTTGAACATACTCCATACTCCGTAGTCTATAGATCTAGGCAGAACCTGTTGGTGCCTACTCCGTACCAATACTAAGGAGTATCGTGTAGCTCAGGCGAAAAGGATGTGGAGGACGAGAAGGATGAGCGACTAGGATGGCACGGTGGATGTCAAGCAAGGTCAAGCTCGGGTTTCCTGGTTTTGTGGAGAGGGGAGACATGTGTCATTCGTTCGTCTGAAGGTTTTGACGGGCAGTTACACATTCTTTTGGGCTGGATGGGATGGAGGGTTAAAGGGACTTGTAAAAAGGGAGGACGGGGTGTTCCCTGTCTGGCTCTGCAAACCATGCCGTGAGTAGCTTAACCGTAGCTCACACCAACTCAGCAAAGTGCCAAGTTGGCAACACGATCCCTGACAGTGGTCCCCTTTTTAGGTGTCTCTAATGGTTGACGATGCTAGGCTGGCTTGCTTGTGTGCTTGTGCACACCTGGATCTCGTAAGTCTCGAATCTTGGGTCAGACAAGTTCGGCACGGCGCAGGCATGGGTTGTTTCTTGTTTCTGGGACAGATGTTTCGGCTCTCGCGCATGCGGAGAGAGTGAAAGAAAGGGTTGCAGAGCGGCCTGTGTTGCGGATGAGGGATGGGAGGTAAGACAGAGGGATTAAGCGGTATTGTTGAGCGGACCGGGGGATGGAGGATGGGGAAGGGGAGGGGGCCAAAGGAATGACTAGGAACTGAGGCAGGCTAAGGCTCAGAGCCTAGAAAAGCTAGGAACTCTCTAGACTTTGCTCGGGCGGAGTAGTTGACGATGGCGATGTGATATGTGTCGTGAATGTGATGTGTTTGTGATGGTTGGTGGACGGGGGAGGATAAAAAAAAAAGGGGCTGTGAGCCGTGCAAGGGAGAGCGAGAGAGATGGGGCCGAGAGTTCAGGTCGAGGTCGAGGCCGAGGCCGAAAGGCCGTGGTGTCTCCGGCAACTGGGGTTTCTTTGCGGGATACTACCTTGCCGTCGTCACCGTACAGTAGCATCACGATCCGGTACGGGGCATTGGGGGCCTCGCGGGAGGGCGATGCGATTATACGGTTGTCGTCGGGTAACGATAGGCCGGGTCTCTTGGTCAGCATCAGTTACAAAGGGAGAGAAGGGATAATACGGGAAAGCAGGTAAGAGAGTGCGCGAAGGAAGTCGAGGCTTTGGAGCGATGTGGAGGGATGGAGTTGAGCAGAAGTGGGAACAGCCAAACAGGCATTCGGATACAGGGTATTAACAGGCACACAGGCTCGGGAACCGGAGGAGCCTGGGAGGGCAGGGAGGAACCCTCTCGGGGGATGCGTCCGGCTGGACGGACGGGAAGGGGAGGGGAAGCTGCACGGAGATCTTTGGAATAAGTTTAGCGAGCGGGATGCAAGTTGTGCATGGATCATTGGCGGTGCAGTGCAGAGCTGGATGCCGGGCAGGGGTTTACGAAGTCAAGGGCATGTGCATGGTGACCCAGCGATCCGATGCATTATTCATAGCCGGGAGCAAGGGGGAATTCGAGAGAGGGCACGAAAGGGACTTTCAGCAGGGCATGGGCCACCAGACTATGAATGCACCGAGGTTGTATTGAAGCAGGGGGGGAAGAGTTGACGAATATGCAAAAGAGCTGAAATGTGCGTGCATTGCAGAATTTGTGAGGCAAGCATAGGCTGAGAGTGTTGGATATAAGTCTTGGTGTCCGAATATCTTCAGTAGCTTCGCATTCCTTTCCATAGATAGGTAGGTAGTCGACACGTCGGATGAGATCTACACAAACCCACGGAACTAATGAATGTAACCCTCGACCCAGAATATCAGCCAGATGCGGTTTGTGCGCTGCATAAGCCGATAAGCTTGGTTCATGCCAGATGCGCTGAGAATCTGAGACTCACTCCTGGCACTTGGGTCAAGACTGAAGTGAGGGAGTGGTGCGTGAGTTTAGGAGTGAGTGAGAGGCTCACGGTGACATGTCACGTCACTCTCGGGCACCTCGCACCCTTTTTTTTTTTTTTACTGGTGGTGGACCTGAAAGGTGCAGTAGGAATTCAGGACTAGGGAGGAGGAACTAGCGCTTGAGCCCGTTGCCGGCGTTGGGACGGCCGGGTTTTGGACTGTGAGATGTTTGTGAGTCGTCGCTGTTAGTGAGAGACTCTGCTTCTGTCCGACGACCTTGGCTTTAAGACATGAGAAGCTTTAGGAGGCTAGGCCGGCGGGAACATGCCGAAGCTCATTATGCTTCCATTATTTCCACCTCGCTCATTTGGCGGTGAGTTTGACTGACATTGTGTGTAAAGAATCCAAGATTGCAAATGAAATGAAGGCTCATTGTGTGTTATCAAACACAACGTACATGTGAGACATCATCAACCGAGAAAACGGCCGACATTCTCTGCATGCCTACCTAGTTAAAAGTATTTTATCTTGTATCCGTAGAAAACTCATAATTATAAACGGAAGACGGCCTGGGAGATGACGGAGAGAAGCCAAAACAAGCCACAAATGTCCTGCCACTCTTGCGGACGGACACGGAATCGACTTAGTTCCTTACTTAGTTCCCTAGTCACCACTCATTCGTAGCCATTCTCCTTCTAGCTGGGCTCTCGCCATATGAAAACGGTCGCATCATTGCCTCTTTCGAAACTCTGTTTTCTCATACCAATCTTGGATAAGCCCGTCAAATTACGTCGACAACAACTCGGGCCGATCAACATCAAGAGAGACTAAACCTCAGATGAAAACAATACAAGCAATCACAAGGCAGGCTGAACAATTGACAACAACGCCAAAAGAATGCAGCATCATTCCATTGAGCATCTGACACAAGAGGCTGCCGCCCCAGTGTTTGGTCACACCGAGGACAAGAACAAGACACCTCAGAAAGTAACACCAACCGAGGAATTCCGGCTTCTATTTTGCACTTTTCCACCAAGACAACTTCTCGCCGTGGCAAGAGAAGAATGACAACTTGACAAGTATCTTTCTAACAAGGCGGTCTCTCACAGGTCTGACCGTGATGAACACCCTTGCTGCACATCACCGCCCACCATTGAGAAGTGCAGCGAATCTCATCGCTATCGCTTCGCATCGTTGCATATGCTGCCACCGTGCGCGCTGTACCCCTACCGCATATCCCTGGCCAGGGTCACCCAGCGTCCTGGGCACCGTCAACTTCTCCTCGACCTCCAGGCTCCGAGTCTGGCTCTTTTTCTCATCTTCCGTTTATCCTCCTCTCCTTCAGGGATATGCCCTCCTAGCTTGCCTGGTAACCGAGCAAATGGGGACGAACGGGCTGGGTCCTTGTCCCACACACGCCAGATGTGATGATCGTCGTTTCTTTTTCTAACCCCCGGTCCACCGTCCGTCTGCCATCTTCACGCGCAAACCCGCTCTTGGTCTGCACTCTGCTGCCGGACGTAACCAGAACCAGGTTTGTCGAGCTGTCAACCTGGACCCGTCTGCCTGCCTGCTGGATTTCTTCCGATGACAGACTGGCAGAGAGCAGACAGGACAAGAAAAGCAAACTTCCCCTTGCAGTATTGCTCCGAACCCACTGGCTTGCACCGGGATGCTCTCAACCCGGGTGCTCCATCTGTCAAGTTGTCAAGTTTCCAAGTTTGTGTGTCTCCTTTCGCCGCCGATACCGCGTACTTGGTCACATCTCAGCAAACCCAATGCTGCGGCCTCGCTTCCGAATCTGGGACTGGAATTGACTCTCGTCTCCGCCCGAGCACTCTCCTCAAGTCAAAAGAGTGACACACACTGGGTACACTACACGTCTCCGAGTGGTGGACCGTCCTGGGAGCTGCAAGGCGCCGGCAAGAAGAAACATCACGGAGCTCCAGTGTGGCGCTGTCAAACTGGGTTATCCTTTTTCTTCGCATCTGGCTTTGGGCTTCCATAGGCATCCGTATCGTATCGTTCTTTTATTTGACTCTTCTGGCTCTGTTCTCTCCAAGACCTGCTACTTTTTTCTTCGCCGTCACGCCACGTTCGCGCCCCCGTATGTCCCAGATTTCTGCCACAAGTGTTGTCTCTGGGGAAGAAGCCTCGTGGACGTTCGCGCCCCGAAAGCTACCTTAAACGAAGAATAAGAAAAATAAATTGCGAGCAAAGGCCAGCCCGACCCCGAGTCTCAGCGCCACGAGTCCACCGAGCGGCCCCTAGACGAAGCGTACTAGACTCTCTTAGTGACGACGCCTTCTTCCTCCCTTGATCTACCCTGAGGGAGGTCCCTCAGGTTCCTCCTGTCCCCCCCCCCACCAGTGACCTCCACCTCCTCCGCCGCCGCCGCCGCGCCGCGTCTGCGGTTGTTGGTCTCTTCGCTTCTTCTTCCCTTGCGCCAAATTGGGTCCTTTTCTACCTCCCCCCCTAGGCCCTGGAGTTCCATCTCGCGAGCGACTTGTGGACGAGGTGAGGTAACTCGAGAAAGTCTGATCATGGCGTTCCGCCTTCGAGGCCGCTAGCTCTCGTTCCCAATTATTTTGCACGGACGCCTCCCCGCGATGGTTTGACGCTTCCCACTTCCACCGTCTGCCACCGTCTGCCTCCCCTCCCGCACTCTTTCGTCCCAACGGTCCGTCGCCCGGAGGGATAAGGACATATATCGATCCCCTACCGTCCGCAGTCCTGGCGTTCCCAGAGAAGAGAGAGCGAGCGGGAGATGATCCAAGTGTTGCTCCATGAACCCTAAGCCTGCTATTGTTTTGTTTCCGTTCATCTCTCTTTCCCACCTTTCCCAAAGGCTTTCCCTCTCTCTTACACCAAACCTCATTCGTTGCCTTTTCAGAGGTCGATGAGTAAACGTCACCCATAGACGCAAACAGTAAAGCTCGGTACCTACTTCGATCTCGCCTCGCCTTTTGCGTAACCATCATTCCACCTCTTCGACGTGTGTCGCCAAAGGACTCGTCTCAGCCAAATCTGTTTGCTGCGCCGCAGGCGAGTTACTAAGTCGAAAACACGCTCCATCCTTGTGCGACCCTCTCTCGCAAAACATATTGCGCATCCGGACCCTTTTCCCTGACTGGTCTCTTGGAGGAATAGCTTCGGGCATGCGGTCTCAAGGCAACACATTTCACAGTTGAAGCTTCCCGCCGAGGGGAAAAACAAAATGGTCTTTTCAGAGAATTCAGTCAACAGACGCAGCGGTGTCATGGTCGTCTCATCGAATACAGGTCCGCCACGGCTCGACCTCGCACTCGCCCGGGGCCGCCGCGGCACGTTTGACAGCTTCGACAGCGGCAGCGAACGCGGATTCCACCCTCGCACGGCGCGGTCGTCCAACGACCTCTTCACACAAGCCCTCAGCAGGATCGATACGGCAGATTGCGACTCGGAATGGGGCGCGGTGCGCGCGAGCGCCAGGGAGAACTGCGACAGAGGGGGCATGGCGGATCTCATCGACTTCTTCAGGACCACGTCGCCGCCGCCAGAGTTTCCTTTACAACAGTCCCTCTTTGAAGATGACGCCGCCGCCACCGTCGCCACCGAATCCCGGGAGCAGCAGCAGCAGCGGGACAGATGGGGACTGCTGAAAAAGTTGCGCCGGCCGCGCACGCGGGCTAGGTCAGAGTCGCCCGTCCGCCGGCCCCGGACCGCAGGACTTCCCAACTCTGCCGTCGCGTCCAAGACGAGCAGCGGCAACTCGCATATCGCAATCTCCATCCCGTTGGAGTACTGCCATGTAGGACCCGACTCTGACTGGGCCCTCGCCATCTTCAACGCCACGCCACCATTACCCCCGACTCCCCCGGTGAGAAATAGCGACGAGGAAACCAGAAACGGCGTCAGGCCTTATGCTAGTGAGCGTACGGTCACTGTCCTCAAGACTGTCAGCGAGAAGGGATCCATCTCTACGCTCGACACGATGAGCACCAGGAGGGGATGCAAGGGCTCGGTGTCGATATGGCCCAAGATCAACCCCAACCCCATGAGCCCGCCCAGGACGCCTTACACGACACCTCCGGGCAGCTTGCGTGGGCGCTCGTCAATGTCAAAGACTAGACGCGACCGGCTGCCTCCTCCGCCGCCTCAGTACGCTGAGCTGCCGGCTGAGCCCGTCCATGTAGCCAAAAACTCTTTCAGCGGTCTCGATAAGGAGTGCGGGTTCACTAGGGGTGAGGCTCAAATCCCAAATACCAAGAGACCCAGGGCCAGAACAACACCAAGGCGGCCCGAGAATATCGTGCTGCCGCCGAGGAGGTCGAGCATCAAGATCGTGAGGCCGCAATCGGATGCGGTCTTGGACAGTCAGAGGTCAATCGATGGCATCCTTGGCGGTGGCGGTTCGCAACGCCAGAGTGTGCTGTCGGACGGCCCTCAACTGAGCCCTGGGGCCTTTTCAGAGGCACACTCCATCAGTCCAAGCATCGCAACTACAGAATTGTCTGAGCCGGTCATATCGAGCGCACGTTCTGCAAAAGCATACTCAATGGCATCTATCAAGCAAGCCGACATGCCGGTTCTACCATCCCGGCAGTCCTTTTCTGTCCGGCCGGGGAGTAGCGACACAGCGCAGACCACTCTGGTGGGAGAGTCCCTAGCTTCTAGGAACCCCTCCACAAGGACTGCTGCCTCGAGGCAAAGTCGCAAGGAGCGTGTCAAGTCTCTCAAGCAAAGAGACATGGATGCGCTGCGAGCCCTTACGAGACAAGGACCCCAAGACGAGGACGGCGAGGTGACGCCAAGGCCCAGGACCTGCGAGACGGTCATCAGCTCCCTGCGCCTCCCTTCTCGAGATGGGACGTTCGGATCCAAGGATCACCTCCCGCAGACAAAGTTGTCTGCCACGAACTTGGCACACATGGCCAAGTCTCACAAGAAGTCGACAAAACATAACAAACACGGTACTGCAACAAAAATATCAGACTGGCAGGCCACGCAAGATACCGAGACGGAGACCCCGGGATGGGAGACTACGCAAGAGGAGCTGACGCCCGGCTGGGAAACCGCACAGGAGACGCCCACAATCGACTGGGAAAAGACGCCGTTCCTAGGGGACATCACGGCGGCTGACTATCGGGTCTCGACAGATACCGGCGCCGGCACGTTCGGAAACGGGGACGTAAGAGACAGCACGCTCAGCTCCGAGCCGCCTCGTCGGTGGGGGAGCCTTCACCGCGCCAGCTGGGCGAGCTCGGTACCGCTCTTGGACCGTATAGGAAGCTTCGCGCCGTCCGACGCGAGCGTCGCCCAAGCAGTGGAGATGGATGACAGCCACGCAGTCCCGCAACCAGCGCGCATGACGCGCGCCGACTCCGGTACTCTTTCACAAGCAGACGCGGACCGGCTGTGCTCAAACCGCTTCAGCTTCATCACGTCCGACGATAAGGTCAAGATCGACCTTGCGGACGACAACCAGTCTATCGCGGGTAGCATTGCCGCCTTTCCCAAGCCCGGCTGCGGCCCTCGTCTGAGCGCCATCATGCCCGTCGCCGAGGTCGTTCCCTCGCTTCCAGTCGACGAGCGGTGGTCTGCGTCGACGCTCAACTCGCCAGTGACGGTCATCGAGGTCTCGCACCCCCCCTTTGCGACGAGCCAACCGCCGGGACAGGCCCCGACGCACGTTGCTCGCCCACACACCGCGGGCAACACCAACCCAGTACTCTTCAACACCGCCAGGGCCGAGGGACACAACGACTCCTCCGACAGCAGACGGGAACTGACTACGTCGACCGACGACGGCGACGCAGACGAAACCGCAACCCTACGCCCGAAAAGCCTCCGCTCACAAGACGGAGAACCCGAAGCAGAAGCAAACCGGGACCCCGGCAGCCTACTCACAATGTCGGCCCGCGAACTCCGCAACCACTACGCCAACCTCCGCAGCGTCCAGGTCAACAACCTCGCGCACGATATGCTCCGCAACCAGGAACGTCTCGAGCTGCGCATGCACCAGCAGGAGCGGAACCAGATGCTCTTCATCGAGCGCCTCGAGCGCTGCATGAGCGACCTGCGCAGCCTCCCCGGGTCGCCCCTGTTCGGCCCCGGACCGCGGGGGACAGCCCTCGACTGGCCTCTCTGCGGCGGCGGCGTTGGCCTCGGTGGTCTTGTTGGTGACGATGGCGGAGACGACTACGTCTACGAAGAGCAGCACATCAGCCGCGATGCGAGACACGAGGTCCGCGTGCGGAGGACGGGCCGCATACGCGGGAACACCACCAGCACCACCGCCAGTAGAACATCCCAACGGCAGCGGCAGTCCGAGGAGTCCCACACTCGGGGGAACGGCGGTGCCGTTCGACGCGGCGGAGACTTTGACGACTTTGACGGGGACTTTGTGAACCTCATCCACCCCAGACAGAGGCGCCCGTCGACCTCGCACGAGATCACCCCTCGCACCAGCGTCAGCATCAGCGGTGGCGGCAGGGCGGTCCGGGGAAGCAGGCACCAGGCGGTGATGATGCAGCCGCTCATCACGCGCGGTGGGCTGGACGCCATGGAGCCGTTAATCCGGGAGCTGCAGCTTGCTTCGCGGGTGAGTCTGGAGGCGGCGCGGACGGATCCGAGGACGGAGACGCCGTTGCCGGATACGGGGTATTACTATAGTATGATTTGAGGCTTTGTCCGAGATGGCAGGGCTCTGTTCCTCATGTTCTACCTTTACTCATCTTGATTTTTCTTTTTCTTCTTTTCGTATCTCATCGTGTTTGATGAGGCCTTTTCTTTGGCTCGGAGGTGGGATTCGGCCGGTTGTTCGATGGCGTGGATTTCTTAGCCTTTATGATATGAAAGGTGTAAGCTATGGGTTAGCTATTTGATGATGACTATTTTCCTTTGTCTGGAGGGGGGCATGTGATGGGTTTTCGGTGTTATCTCAAGGAAATCAGTCACTTGTGGGATGGAGGATCTCAGGATGGCGGATCATGAGAAGTGAGTATACCCAGAGCTCACGGCAGAGTTTTAGTTTAGTGTTTCTTCCCTTCTTTTATTTACTCTTCTCCTTTGCTATCACACCCATATCATGAGCACTGTACACACATCTGCGCTGCTGATGCCAGCCGCGATGAAGAATGAAAAGATACCTATTTTTGCTTTTTCTCAACCACTTGTCCTGCACATGCGTGAGACGTATCAAATGATTTGTTATCAAAGTGAGCTTGTCGATGGAGAGTATCTATGCTGCCTGCATCCCCACGATCCGTAAGGTAGGCAGATCGACGAGATCGAGGTCCAGATCTGCTGTCTAAATCTCAACCAATGACGTCGTCTGTACATGTGATGGCGGGACCCTTGCAGTAGCTCGTTTCCGGAAGACGTCGATCTTCAATCATTCTTTGGGGGCTAGCGTTTTTTCTGGTTTCCCCATTGTATCAAAAAAGTCATGATGTCTTTGACCCGGAATCTTTGTGGAGCTCAGAAACTCAATTCAAGAGCTGGAATCTTGGTTTCTTTTAGATCATATGTAGCTAACCACTAAATTATCTAGCCAAATCAAGCTGATCCCCCACGACGCTCATTCTCCTATCTTCTTGCCAATTGCAACGTGGGACAGTCATTCTTATTCATCGTGACTTGGATGAGATACACACCATCATCCTCATCAGCTGAAGCTATACAGACCACATCCCACCACCTTCTCACGCCCAACGGCCAGAAAGCTCACCAAATACAAACACCACAGAGCAAACATCATGTCCCGCCCATGGATCCTCATCGCCCCCGCCTCCCGCGGCATAGGCGCCCACCTAACCCGCCACCTCCTCCGCACAACCACCGCCCCGATCCTCGCAACATGCCGCTCCGCCGACACCACCGCCGTAAAGCACTCCATCCTGTCCTCCCTAACCTCTGACGACGAACCAAAATCCCACTCCTCCCCCGCCGCCAAAGAAACAGAAGACCTCGCCTCCCGCCTCAAAGTAATCCGCCTCGACGTCACCTCGGAACCCACAATCGCCGCCGCCGCCGCCGAAGCAGCGACCTTGTTTCCCTCCTCGACGCACCACCTCCGTCTCGCGCTCGCTACGCCGGGGATCCTGCACCCTGAAAAGAGTCCCTCGCAGATTGACTATGATAACGCGCTGGAGACATTTCGGGTGAATACCCTGGGGCAGATGATGCTCATGAAGCACTTTTCCCCCTTCCTCCCCAAGAAATCCATCAAGCTTTCGACGTCAACGGATGATGAAGCGAGAGGTCTACCTCCATCCCACGCCGTCTGGGCAGCCATGTCGGCACGCGTAGGTTCCACGGCGGATAACCGCAAGGGCGGGTGGTACAGCTACCGCGCCTCCAAGGCGGGCGTCACGTCTCTTGCGAAATCGCTCGATCTCTGGCTGGCTGCGCGGAGCGGCGAGCGGGCCATGGCTGTGGCGTATCACCCGGGCACCGTCAAGACTGGGTTGTCAAAGGGATTCTGGGATACGGTGCCTGAGGGGAAGCTGTTTGAGCCCGAGTATGCGGTGGAGAGGATGTGTAAGGTTCTCACTGAGGAAGTTGGGATTGAAGGGAGGGGTAGGTTTTGGGATTGGGCTGGCAAGGAGATTTTGCCGTGAGAAACGGGAGCTTTCAATGTTGAATGAAGAAGAAAGGGAGACGAGGTGCCGTGGATGGGTGTTTAGACTCCCACAGGTGGGAGTGATATGATCGTTCAAGATATCAAAGGGGAGACGAAAAGGCAGATTTAGCATCGTCATCATTCCATGACAACTGATTCTATAAAAGTCGTGAAGAAACGGCTAGTTGTACACGAGACGCGACGACATCTCTGGGTAACTCCGTGCTGTGAAAGAACTCCTTCCGAATCACCTCCAATCATTCTCATCCCTCAAACACGAGATGAACCCCCGCCTCACAAGGCTACATCCTGGAAGGATGCGCCGTCAGGAGAGACGCCCGGCTTCTCCCCCTTTGTCGGATTGTCCTCGTCTCCCTTGCCGTCCTCGCTGTCCTCGTCCGACTCCTCCTTTGGCCGGTGCGCGAGGTTCTGCTCGTCCTTGTCTTCCAGCCGCACCTTTTGCTCCTCTTGGTCCACAATCCGCTTCTGTTCCGCCTCTCTCTCTTCGTCGCCGGAAGCCGGCTCTTCTTCCGCCTTGCTGAGGGGGTTCTCGACTTCGGGGGACTTGACGGACGACGTGGCAGCCGCATCACCGTTGCCCTCTGGCGTGCTGGCGGCCGGGGGTGTCGGCAGCTCCTTCTGCGTCGGTGGTGTCTGTTGCGGCTGGGGCGTCTGCTGGAGTTCGTCGCTCGAGGGTCCGGGTCTAAGGGCGTCGAGGTAGAACTTTGTCACACCCAGGATGCGTCCGTTCTTCTCGCACGCTTCAACCCACTCGGGGCGCACGACGGGAATGTTGGTCTCGACGGCCTTCTCCCACGCCAGGCCGCGGCCCTCGGTGGTGACAAAGTGCGTCGTATCAATGCGGACGCTGTCGACAATCTTGGCGCCGATACGGTCGACCGCCGCGGAAAGCGCCTCTCTGGTGGCAGGGGGCATGATGCCCGTGGTGATGGTGATGCCGCTGAGATCCGTCATCTTGTGGGTGCGCACGGTGACCTTTTCGGAGCTGAGGGTGCCGGCGGTGGTGCGCAGGACGAGGTGGAAGGTGTAGTCTGTGTCGACAGCAAGACCGCTAATCTTTGTGCTGTGCATCTGCAGAGGGCGGGGGATGTTGCCGGCCTTTTGGCCGTTGCGGTGGAGGGAGAGGGAGAGGATGTCGGCGGTGGCGAGCTCGATGGGGTCCCATTCGAGGACAACGGAGGTCTGGGTCGCGTTGCGGCAGCGCAGGACGGGTGTCGTGGGCGAGCTGGCGCCAAAGGACGAGTAGATGCGGTCCTGGAGCTCGCGGAAGGCATGCTCGGTCTTGGCCTCTGAGCCTAGGTTACGGGCGACGGTGATGTCGACGATGCTGCCGGAGGAGATGTTGGGAGGGAGCAGGATAGACGGGAACTCGATCTGGTAGCTTGGAATTAGTATAGGATCTCAAGAGTAGGCGAATATGATATTGATGAGTGGAATGGAAGCCAGGGCGGGAGAAAGAGCGCGGTGCCTTTCGACCATATGGCTTCCCTCGCAAGCTGCCCCTAGTTCATCGCCAAGAGTGCAGAGTGCATGAGATATAACGTACCAAACGCTTGTCCGGCGTCAGAAGAACCGTGACGCCGGCGTCAACCTTGCCGACGGTCAATGAGACGAGCATCGTGAACTGTGCCTGCTGGTGTTGATGCTTCTTCCCGGTTTTCGAAGCGTGGTACGTAATTGTAAGGTTGTTTGTGTTTCCCGTCTTCGGCCAAGGGGGGTATGTTGGTTCAATTGCGCAGGGTCGGGTGCCGATTCCGTAGGTCTTTCGTCTCGGCTCGGTTCCAAGGGCGGGTTATCGCGATGGGTTCGGTATGGAGGTGGCCAGGTGGGTGAGCATGAAATTGTTGCCAGCGATGCTTGTGTATGCGAGACACATATGCTGGATCGAGAGAGGTACAAACGCCAGTCACAGTTAATTACCAGGTTGGCAGCTCCAGACGTCTCGGCTGGCAGCTCTGCGCTAACGATATGATTCGTCGCCAGCAACTCTGCAACTGCCTTCCAAGGAGTTGAGGTGGCTGGGTACGTACCTGCCCCGTGCTTCACCTCAGTTATCATTCTTCAGTTCCCAGTAGGTATCTATCTACCTCACCTCACCTTAAGGCATTGAATTCGTCTTATTGTTCGTTAGATACCAGGATGGGATACTTTGCGGGCCATTTCAACTTCTTCCCTTTGTGCTTAAGATGCAGTGAGACATACTGAAATCCCCATCGTTGCGGACTCTTTCTCCTGATTGTGTACTGTGATGTAAAGACCGCTGCCTTGCCATGAAAGATATCAGTAACAAAGGCAGCCTTGGACCGTTTCCCTCTCTTCAAACAAAGTCATGGCTTCTATCCGGGGGTATCATTTGTAGAGTTATGTTACACAGACTCCAGCCGAGGCTGTCATCATGAAAGACTGCCCATACCTTCTGTCGATAATGAGACCAGATCTTTCCAGCTCCGAACGTCCTCGTCACGCCCAGAGTTGGCCCGATTTCAGGGGCCTTTCTGCTTCGATCCGGCGCTTCTCCTCAGCGGCCTTTTGTCTCCGCTCCTTCCGCCTGAGCTGCCTTTCCTCCTTGATTCGCAACTGTGCTTCTTCCCGCTCCAGTCTCCTCTGCCGCCATACCGCCTCCTTCTGGAACTCTTCTTCCCGCCATTCATCCTCTCGCCGCTTCGCTTCTGCTTTCGCCTCGTCTTCCCGTCGCTTCCGTTCGTCTTCCCGCTCAATCTCTTTCCGTGCTCTCTCCTCCAGCTTTGCATCGTACTCGCGTTGCCACCGCTCCGGGTTCTGCTCCGCGTCCTTGAGTTCAATCAGACGGTCCACGGCCACGTCCATGGCCGCTCGCAGATCGGCCTTGGGGAGCCTCTTTACCACATCGGCGGGTAGCCTGGCAGTAAGAGCAATCGTACCCTTCAAATCGCCTTTCAAGGAAGTGCCCTTCCCTGTGCCCCACTTGGGCCTTTTCAGACGTCCCTCGGGATCGTAGCCTCTGGCATCCAGGGCGGCGTGAAGCTCGCGCCTCATGGTCCTCCTGGCAGTGTTCACAACGAGTGGTCCTCCATGCGCGGTGACTCCGTACAGCCAAATCCAGAGCGGCATGGTCTCCTTCATCTGCTCGTACCTATGCCTATAGAGGACCGAGTAGGGATGCTCGCTCATCGTCTCGACAAAGTACTCCCTGTCCCAGTTTCTCATGACATGCCGCGGAGATATCTGTATCTTGAGTTGCTCGAACATTTGATCCAATTCGCCGGGGAGGTGCACCATTCGGTAGTCCAAGGCGGCCAGCCCAATGTCGAGGTCAAGGAATATCCTTTTGAAGCGATGTTCCTTTCGTAAAGTCTTGAAGTCGACCGGGTGCGGGGGTGGCCTGTGTGGTCGAACTGATGGGAGCTTTGAAGCGTCTTCCTTGGAAGCCTTCAAGTCTTCGCCGCGTAGCCGCCGTTTTATCTCGTCCATCTTGTCCTTGCGCTGTCTGCCACGTTCCTCGAACCAATAATCTTTATTTTCTTTCTCTTGTCGACGCCTTTCGAGGGTCCAACTTAGCTCCTTTGCAGAACGGCCAAGTCGTCTTGAGCAAGAGAACCAGGCCGCCTGTGTCGCCAGGGGTGTGCCAAGAGGCAGTCTTCGCATTGTGCCAGTGACATGTTGAAGCCGCATCGGCATCATCGCATGGGCGTCGCCGGGGGCGGTCCTCGGGTAGTCATAACTCGACGGTGAGCTCCGCCGATGGTATTGTAAGATACGGCCGATAGGTCAGTTCGATTTCGTAGAGACCGCTCTCTAGATTTCAAAAGGCGACGAGGCGCGAATGTGCCATCTGCAATCTGTAGGTAAGCTCCGACTGTCGAAGAAGAGATCCATTGTAGGCCAAGCTCTCCCAAAATGGCTTAGGTAAGTATCGAAAAGCTTAGACCACCAGAAAGTGGATCACTGGTGCCACGAATGGCAGGCCGACTGTGGCTCAGCCAAATTCAATGGGCTGATGGAGATTGGTGAAGGACACACCGTGACGCCCAAATGAAAATGTGAGCCACAGCGCACCTTTCTCAATTTGGTGACGGTGACCACATAAAGATCCCACCCCACTTGACTCATCTGCACTGCAGGAGAGAGAAAAAAACCGAGCCAGTCCGTTTCAACATCATTCGCCCCTTCCCACTTGAAAGAAACCCACAATCACATTGCACCTCACAGGCTCACAGAGAGCGGCAGTAGCCAGCCCACCTCAGCGACAGGACCCCCTGTTCCGTTAGATCACTGCCCTGCACCGCTCCTGCACAAAAAAGCAACCCACCACAGCCACACCTTAGAGCCCAAAGCCCAAAAGCACCACCATTTTTTGTTCGGGGGGCGCTTTCCAAACGCACAATAAAGCCCACCGCCCACTTTCGCACTTCCTTTCGACATCTCGCTCTCTCTCCCACTTCCAACCAACCCACCCCCCTTCACATCCTACCTATACCGCTGAGAACCGGAATTCTCACGAGTAGTCAAGATGCCCAAGAACAAGGGAAAAGTAGGTTGGCCCCTTCAAGCCCAGTTGTCCTTCCAGTCTCCCCCATCCAAGAAGATTTTCCCTCTCTACCTCTCTCTTGGAGCCGTGTGGACAGTCGAAAACCACCCCTCCCCCTGCTTAGTTGCGCGCCCCGCCAACAACCCCGCCCCCTCCTTGCTACTGCTCGATACACACACGACGCACATTGACGATGATGATGTTGATGATGCCACTGGTGATGGGAAATAAGACGCTTCGATCATGAAGACTAACAACCAAAACAGGGAGGAAAGAACCGCAGACGTGGAAAGAACGAGTCTGACCACGAGAAGCGTGAGCTCACCTTCAAGGAGGATGGCCAAGGTTAGTTCATCACTCATCCAAACCGAAAAAAGAAAAAAAAAAACATCGGACGCGTTTCCACCACCACTTCATGATACGGTAGAACACCTCAAAGCAAGAAGCGCATCACAACTAACCTTCCCCCCTCTCTCCCACAGAATACGCCCAAGTCGTGAAGATGCTCGGCAACGGCCGCCTCGAAGCCCAGTGCTTCGACGGCGTCAAGCGCCTCGCCAACATCCGCGGCAAGCTCCGCAAGAAGGTCTGGATCAACCAGGGCGACATCATCCTCCTCTCCCTGCGCGAGTACCAGGACGACAAGGGCGACGTCATCCTCAAATACACCGCCGACGAGGCCCGTTCCCTCAAGGCCTACGGCGAGCTCCCCGAGTCCGCCAAGATCAACGAGACGGATACCTACGGCGCCGAGGGCGACGGCGACTGCAACTTTGAGTTTGACGACGACCGCGACTCGGAGGAGAGCGAGGACGAGGGCGCCGCTGGTGGTGCCGGCAAGAAGGAGGTTGATATTGATGACATTTAAAAACAATTGTCCTCTTTTGTCGTTGCCCCCTCTTCAACACTCCACATCAGAGTGTTGAGACAGAATGCCCCGAAACCTTCCCACTTCTCAATTTCTTATCCGTCTTTCCTACCGCTAGACGGCGAGAGGTGGGAACGCTGTCTTCTCTCTCTCAAACACTGCGGCCGTTACATTCTGTTATCGGCTGTAGGGTTCCGCGACAGTCAAGGTGTCAAGGGTGGTGCGTTGGACGGGCCATGGTGGGAGAGACGTCATGGCTTGTCAAATCATCAGAACGATAGATCTTACCTCTTTGCGCTTGAGTAATTAAATTTCATTTTGGTCAGTGGCTTTGCGCCGCTCGCCAAAGTTCATCATATCTTGCTTGCCTCTCTCACTCAAAGTGACATGTCAGAACGAGCAGCTACTGGAACGAGGAGCCTGTGTAACAAGGAGATGGCGTGACGCATTTGAATTTTGTTTGGTTCCAATTTCTTACATGCGGCCAGCGGGCTTGCTACAATAGCAATATTGTCCTATTTCTACCCTACTGCCGTCTCCAGATGCGGCGGACACGCCGAGCATCTCTTTGGTACCCCGGGTTTGACCAACCGAAGAACTGTGATGCTTTTTGACCGTACCCGCCCGCCTAATCCCTAAATGTGCAGCTGTCACTCTGGATAGCCAAGAATCGAATACGATGTAATACTGCTTCAAATCGTCTGAGAAGCCTAGGTCTCGACTTGCGGTACCGTTTCGATATGGCCCGAAGGCTTTCTTTATACTCTTCCCTCGAGCCTCACGCACACATCGATCACCAGTCGTCGTTATCGCTCCTCTCATCGTCTAGTGATACGTTAGTAACGATATAATAGCAGCACACCTTGGGCTTTACTTACCACTTCTGCTAACTTTCTCCTTTCTCTTCTGGAGTGCAGCGGCGAGAGCGTTGGCCATGTCACCACCACCACCAGGTGCCACGCCGGCTGGAGGCAGGCCGCTTCCATGAGGACCACTGTCACTACCGCCACCAACTGTGGCATTGCTTCTGTCGCGGATCTGACTCCGATCCACCTTCTTCAGCGCCCTGATACCACCAGCCTTCTGAATATCTCCCAAGACGGCCGAGCGCGAAGAGTCCGGTTGAGGAACGGGAACACCGGATGAGTACCCAGAGTCTCGGTTGGGCATAGGGGGTGGTGGAGGAGGTCCGCCCAAGGCTCCCGGGGGCGGAGGTGGTGGCGGCGGGGGAGGTGCCCCTGCTCCGGGAGGCGGCGGAGGGGGAGGTGCCCCTGCTCCGGGAGGCGGCGGAGGGGGAGGTGCCCCTGCTCCGGGAGGCGGCGGAGGGGGCGCAGGCGGCGCGTTGTTTAACGGAGGTAGAGGAGGAGCCGGAGGTGCATTGGAGGAGGGCAATGGCGGCGGCGGGGGAGCATTCGATGTTGGGAGAGGTGGCGGTGAGGTGGGGAGAGGCGGCGGAGGAGGAGCGCTTGATGATGGCAATGGCGGCGGTGGAGGAGGCAGAGGCGGACTGCCAAGCGCAGGAGGTGGTGGCACAGGTCGTGAAGACAAGGGCGGCAACGGTGGTGCCTCTGACGCCGGAGCTTTCGGAGGAAGTGGCGGGCCATCCGAACGTGGGGGCGGCGGCGGCGGGACAGGTCCTCGACTCGGAGGTGGTGGACCCTGCCTTGCCCCGGGAAATGCGGGCGGTACGCCGAATTTGTGACCAGCAGGCCTTTCTTCCTCCTGCATTGGCGTTTTGGGTGGTCGTGGCGGAGGAGGGGGCCCAGGGTTTGCTGGCCCACCGCGTATGGCGTTGACTGAACCTCCCAAAGCATGTGCGAGTTTGCCGGCATCTGGTAGAGGAGGCGGTACAGCGAATCGACTTCTTGACGCTTCTGGCGCTGGAGGTTCGCTCGGGGGTGTCGGTTCTCTATTGACAGCAGGCGTCTCTGCTTTTCCTGACCTCCTAGCAGGCGGGGGTGCAGGCGGCGCTGCGCCGCGCCTGGGGGCGGGCGGAGGCGGTGGTAGGCGTGGGCCGTCTGAATGACTTCCCCCTGAAGGAGGCGGCGGAGGAGGCGCTCTTCCGTTTCGAAGTTCAAGACCATTTGTATGAGGAGCTGGCGGAGGAGGCGGAGGAGGAGCATGACTCCGAGCGCCAGCCATTAGTTTCTCTTGCTCCTCCTTCAAGAATTCAACAATGAACTCTTGGTTCTCCTTGATGAACTCATCCGTCAGTCCCTTATCTCGGAGATCTTGGCCGAAATTCTCCCGCCATTGAGGGTCGAAGGCATCAAGAACAGCGAATTCTGAAGATTTATGGCCACCATTCAGAGAAGGCATACGGCCATGTGGCAGGTTCGACCGCGGGGAGTCGGGAGGGGTAGGTGCCGCAGCATGTCGGCCACCAAAGAGACCTCCGAGTAAACCATGTTTGTGTGCGGCAGCCTGGGAGGCACCTCCAAATGGTGTCGACCTCGTGGCTCTGCTTGCGTTCTTTTCTCTATCGTCCATTTTCTTCTTGAATTGCTTCGCTTCCTTCTCGTCGGTGAAGGAGAGGCCGGCGAGACATTCTTCAATTTCAAAGCTGTGGAAGTAAGTGCGATCTTGATTGTAGCTCCACGTGTCGAATATTTCCTGGTCCCAGATGACACCGCGGTTTCCAGACTTTGAGCATGTCAGCCAAAATTGCAAGAGGCGCCGAGAGCGCAGTCACTCACTGAAATATCCACCATCTTGAGCCAGTATGTGTTGCCGACGAGATCATTTGACAGGACGATGGCGCCCTGAATTCCTGTTTGGGTCCATCTCGCGGGGTTGGGGTAAGCAACGTATAGCCTAGCAACAGCTACGGCCTGGATCTTGTTGGTCTGCTTGGGGACGAAGCGCTTGACCGTCTCCTTATCGTCGTCGCTCAATATCGACGGCATGGTGGCGGCAGGAAGAGGAGGGGTCGCCGGAGGGGATGGGAGGGGAGGGGAGGTGAGAGAGTCTTCGTTGGGACCGATCGGGTGAGGTGTCGTTGTTCGTATGTAGTTGAATCAAGGTGGAATTGGAATTGGGACGAGGTGGAGTGGTTGTATGGGTCGTGTGCTTGCAGGAGCCGCGGCAGCAGAGGCAGGAGCCACGTTTGGTCGTAGTGGTTTGCGTTGTACGCGTGTGTAGGCGATGGCAAGTGGCGCTTAGTAGTTGGTGAATGGGCTGGGCAAACAGACACCTCCTCTTTCGGGATGGCGCTTCGTGGGTTGATCGCTTTCAGTAGGTAAGGTAGCAAGGACGACAAGGACCCCGAGACAAGTCAACCAAGTGCCGTCGCTTGTCGGTGTTTGGAGGCAGCAGGGTACAGCGTACAGTACTTTGTACAGCACCTCAGGTACGGTAGAAAGGTACAGCTAGTACCAGGACGATGCTTCGCTATGCAATGCGGTATGTGAGGCAGCCACTCTGCGTCCGACAAAAAGCAAGCTGCGTGGGAGAGTGATAAGCTTGTGGTCAAAGATGCCAGAGCTTCCGGGTCCGGGGGCGTTTCATGAAATGTGGAATCGCATCACTCAACGGGGGAACCCTGAAATACCATGTAATTGGGCTTGCGGAATGGCTGAAGGAGGAGAAGGTTGTGCCGGGTGAGGATGAGGTCCGGGTGGTTGTATGTGAGATGGTGTGTGTGCGTGCAGTGTGCGAATGGATGGGATAATCGGCAAGTCTGGGACCTGACAGAATGGGAGATGAAATGGCGTACGATTGTTGGACTTACTTGGGACAGAATGACCGCCCAAAGACTCCTCCACTGGGCCTACCTTACGCAGCCCGCCCAGCGGAGGTTGGCGAGTGGGCTGGACGGAACTCGTAACCGGCCCTGGGCCACGGCGGGCTGGTGGCTGAGTCGTTCGTTTCAGTGGACTTTGGCTGGGATGTTTCTCTCCCCCGGGCGCTGCTCGGGCGTCTGTCCATTTGCTCAGGCCCCGGTCTCTCGCTGTCGGATTGTCCTTGCCGCGTATTAAACACTGGCACCAGCCACACTAGGTATGTTTGCACCGCCACGTGGAACGCAGAGGAAGTCTGTCGTCATTGTGGGACGCGCAACGTTCAGCGTAAGGTAAGGTCGCATTACTGCTTTCCGAAGATACCTACTAACGACGGGCATGGGTCGATACGGGAATAGAGGCGTCTGACGATCTCCAGAAGATTTCACGACCAATCTAACTACTATGCTGCCCTCTGGTCCATCCTCACCATATCCTCACTGAACCAAAAGGTATTGCAGTCAACGTTTCAACTCGTTTAGACCTGCGCGATGTTGATGGCCAAGGGAACCCAGCCCATATCAATGGTATCAGGTTATGTGAAATTTGATTCATGAGTGTATTGGTAGTATTAAGATGGCTTTATCCACCGACCAATTCCCGAGTCTCCGTGCTCAGTTCGTTTCCCATAGTCTACAATTCGTAACTGGTCATACAGGGTCATGCATCGCGAAAGATGCTGCCTCATCGTCATGTTGGTTTATTTGTTCAAAGCCTCCGCCTTGGCTCGGCGCTCCTCCTTGGTTCCCTCCTCTTGAGCGTTGAAATCCTTGGGGACGGCAGGGCCGGGATGCGCTTGGTGAGCAGCAAACTTGGGGTCGCCGCTGCCACTCTCCTGGATGGGCTGAGTGCTGAACTGCTTCTCCTTGTCGGAGTTCTACCAAGGTGTCAGCTTCGCAGCTTTGGGTTATGAATGAGGGGTAGATGCTACTCACGTCACCCTTGGTGATGTTGTTGACGAGTTCCTTAACCTTGTCGGCCATGTTGAATATTGTTTGATTGCTTGGGTGGTTTGGTTTGAAGAGTCTTTGGTGGTTTGATGAATCGGTATTGTGATGAGTAGTCAAAGTAGAAGCAAGCAAGAGTAGGACAATGGACTGTTTATAAACTATCTCTGCTGGTGGCTTACATGTGAGTTGAGGCAGGTCACTGCGGTACGTGGAAGGTTGCGACGGCCGATGACGTCGTCCCGCCCGCAGAGGGGTAGAGGCAGTCACAACCCCGCGAGCAACATCCCCGCTTACTTGGAAGGCCTCCTATGCAAAGACACTTTTGTTGCCTTTTGATTGTGCGATTGGCTCTCTGCGTGTACCGCCCGTAGCCGGGCCCCTTCAACAGCCATTGATCTTGGCGTATCTGGATGGGAAGATGCTGGCCAGATGCTGGCCAGACTCCTGCGCGTCACCGGCGAATTGCGTGCATATCACGAGGGCCGCTAACGTGCAAGAGGATGGGCCAAAAACTTGACAGGAGACGGCCGGCTTTCCAGTGACAAGCACGCCATGCTCCATAACCCCACGGTTGCATCTACCAGTGATCGCTGCCGGGTCTTGTCGATTCGATGCGGTGTTGGCGCAAAGCAGGATTGCTGTTGAAGATCCCAAGATGTCTTGTTCCAGTGACCACGGGGTGATTCTAAGAGCCAACTAGTCTGCAAGTGAAATAAGGTAGGTAGAGTACGAAACCCGAGATCATCTTGGTGGGCGTTGAGATTCCGAGTGATGCACCTGCTTCAACTGTGTAGAGCCATGTCTTTGGCAAAGTGACTGGACTAACACCCACCGCCCGGGCGTTCTAAGCTTACATGTTAGCGCGCGCACCTTGTCTCGAACAATAGTTTCTTGGGCTCGGTTGACCATGGCTATTTCTGAGAGGAGCCAGTACCTTATTGCCCGAGGGTACTTTCCTCATGAGTTCGTTCTCTCTCAGATGATATAAAGGAATAGTAGCCATCGCGGTGTAAATAGCCATCTGACTTCCTGAAGTTGAACGTCTTGCTTGAAGTTGTGTTGATTTTGTACAGTAAGAGTCGACTACACAACACTGTACAATCCAAGCCATCTGAGCTGTGCGCGGCACTGTATGTCAGCGGGAGTCATGGAACTCTAGTGGTGACCTCAGTCCGGATCCAGTCATGATCGATCCAAGCATGTCTCCCGGCAGCTTTCAACCACAGTCGGTGCCCACAGCTAGTCACGATGCACCATGTCAACCAACGCTCAGCCGGTCAAGCTCTCTCTTCCCCTTGTAAGTTCTTCACGTCAATTATCAGGTGTTTCACCAGACTGATCTCTCCCAGGAATACCAGCAGAGCCTCTTCCAGGAGCTGCGGAATGAAGATGAGCTCGTCGTCCTCGCCCGTGGGCTGGGGCTCATGAGGCTCGTCACAAACTTGCTTCATTCCTACGATGCGGCAGGAAACAACCTGATTATTCTTGTTGGGGCCGAGGATCGCGAAAACAATTGGATTGGAGAAGCCCTGGCCGAGCATGCCGCAATCAGCCAGTCGCCCAACGCGAGGGGGCTCACGGTCGTCAACACCGACTTCACCAGTGTCGGCGCAAGAGAAAAGATGTACACCCGTGGCGGCATCTTTAGCATCACCTCGCGCATTCTCGTCGTTGATCTCCTGACGAATCTTCTCGACACCGAGAAGGTCACCGGTCTCATCGTTTTACATGCCGATCGCGTCGTGGCCACGTCGCTTGAGGCCTTCATTCTGCGAATATATCGACAGAAAAACAAAGCCGGCTTTCTCAAGGCGTTCGCCGACAATCCAGACCCATTCTCGACCGGCTTCTCGCCATTGACCACCATGATGAGGAACCTCTTTCTGAGAAAGGCGTCATTGTGGCCACGCTTCCACGTGACGGTGGCAGAGTCTCTGGAGGGCAAGAAAACGGCAGAGGTGATTGAGTTGAACATCTCAATGAGCGAACCCATGCGAGACATTCAAAATGCAATTCTTGAATGTGTTGAAGTCAGCATCCACGAGCTGAAGAAAGGCAACACGGGCCTGGAGATGGAGGATTGGAACCTCGACAGTGCCTTGCATAAGAACTTTGACGTGATCATCAGAAGGCAGCTCGACCCTAACTGGCACAGAGTTAGCTGGAAGACTCGACAGATCGTCAACGACTTGAGCGTCCTTCGTGGCATGCTCTCGTCCGTTCTCTCCCTTGACGCCGTCTCATTCTTGCAACATTTAGATACCATCCATGCAGCACATTCGCCGCCTCCGGGGTCAACGAGGCAAAACCAGTCCCCTTGGTTGTTCCTTGACGCAGCGCAGACCATTTTCGAGACGGCGCGGCGTCGAGTCTACTCTGCCAGCGCAAAAGCTGCAACAGCAGATGCGAATATTGACTCACTTCGCCCTGTTCTTGAAGAGCAGCCGAAATGGGCTTGGCTGGCGGACGTCTTGACAGAGATTGATAACAGCATGCATTTTGACCCTCCGGCCCGCGACGATTCCAACGGCACCATTCTCATCATGTGTGGTGATACGAATACTTGCAGGCAACTCCGAGACTACTTGCAGACCATGTATTTCAAGCCAAAAGTCGAGAAGGACCCGACGAAAGATGATGACGATGAGGAAGACTCGGCATCAGCAGCTTTCATGATGAGGCGGAAGCTGCGCAACTATCTACGATGGAAACGGGAATTTGCACAGGTCAACGCTACGCTCTTTTCCGAAAACCAAAAGGCTCTGAATGGCGCCACCGATCGTAACGGCCAGCGGCTTCGGGGCAAGGCACCGTCAAACAAGCGGAGGCGCATGCGAGGCGGCGGTATGACTGGAACAGCCCAGGGGCGGGCCGACAACGGCAGCATCCTCCAATTCTTTGAGAAGCCCACGGATGTCGAAGACCTCATGGCCGAGGTGCAAATCACAGAGGAGGAAGCGGACCAAAAGCCAGAGATCGTCACCGACCCCCTGGAAAACATGGAAGACTTTTTCCAACTGTACGAGATGCAGGATCTGGTCGTCATCCACGCCTACGATGGGGATCAGGACGAGCACGTATTGGAGGAGGTGAAGCCGCGGTACATCATCATGTACGAGCCCGACGCCGCCTTCATCCGCCGCGTCGAGGTCTACCGGTCGTCCCACAACGACAGAAACGTCCGGGTCTACTTTATGTACTACGGCGAGTCGGTCGAGGAGCAGCGG